GGGGGGCCCAGGATGCCCTCAGGTTGCATGTCCAGGATGCTTCAGGTGCATGTCCTGGGGCTACCTCTGGGCTTGGGGAGACCTATGGGCATTCCATGTCTCCGAGCAGCCTTGCATCATCGAGTGGGACATGCCATGTGGGGTGTCATGTAGGAAAGAGCTGTGGGATGGAAGTCACCCTGACCTGCCAGCCCAAGTGACAGGCTACCTCTGCAGGCTCAGCCGGAAGCTCCAGGAGAAGGAGAAGGTGATTGAGAGCCTGGAAGTGAAGCTGCAGGAGTGCTCTGAGTCCCCAGGTAGCAGCTGCCCACCCTCCGAGTCATCCCACTCTGCCACCAGCTCCTCCTTCACATCTGAGGGGCTGGAGCCCTGCTCTGATGGGGATGCAGCCAGCGAGTGCAGTCAGTGCCATGAGGAGCCTGCCCAACTCACAGGTACCGCAGGGTGACCAGGGGCCACAACCACCTCTGGACATGCAGACTCAGCTGCTCAGGGTGTGACAGGGTCCCCAGTGCCCCCAGGGAGAAGGGATCTCTGCTAGGCTGAGCCAGAGCCACACTAACATCTGTCTCTCCTGTCTCTAGGCCATCACTTGGACTCCTTGTCCAAACCTGTTAGTGCCCCCTTGCCTGCACTGAGCCCCTGGGCTGTCTCCCTTCTTGTCTGCTGGGCCCCCCCTTCCCACAGCCCCGCCGTTCCTGGGCTGCTGTGGGACCTCTGTCTGCTCCCTGGCTGAGGCACAACAGGAACTGCAGGTGCTCCAGAGGCAACTGGGAGAAAGTGAGCACGCTGCCTCTGGCTTGGGTTTGTTCTTGCCTGCCCTGCATGCTGTGCTGTGCCTCATCTCTTCCCACCCTCTCTGACCTGTCTATCTTGCCCTGGACCTTCTGCTTCCTGGGGCTATGGCTTTGAGATTGGATCCCATCTCTCTGGCTGGCAGACAATGGGGACATGTAGCTCTCGTGCAGAGAGGTCTTGGTGGGTGGAAGGGACACAGCTGGAGGCAGTATTAGCCCTTGGTGTGGACACTTGGGTATCCCAGGGCCTCTGAGAAAGGGTGGTTTATCTAGTTGTGTAGGAGTGGGGCTGAGACCCTCCACCTTGTGTCACATAATCAGCAAGTTCTGGGAGAAACTGCTCTTCAGCGGGAATGGGCTTGGTCAGGGTGGGAGGTCAGGGGATGGGGGATGACCATGGGGGGACAGTGGGCTGCACTGTTGGGCAGAGCGAGAAAGGGGCAAAAAGCACATGATGGGAGTGTGTTGCCTCATTTTTCCTCCCTGCTCATTGTCTTTCTCCCTGCTTTGCCCTGTGTGTGGAGGTGTGGCACTGCCCGTGGCAACAGCAAAACCCACAGTCCCACTGGGTCCCTTCGGAGAGGGCAGCAAATCCCCGGCATCGTTCTGCCCACACAGTGCCCTGCAGAGCCTGGCTGAGCTCCCCGGGGCCACCTCAGCCCGTGTCCTCTGGGAGGTACCCCCGCCCGGCCAGACACCTTATGGGGCCCTGCCGTCGGGGTGCACCTCCAGCCACAAGCTAACAGGTACGGTCCGTGCTGGAGAGCACAGGGACATCCTGCCTGCGTGTGGGGGAGCAGGGAGGAGATCCGGCACCAGAGTGACTGTGGGACATCACTCTGGCGTGGAGCAGGATAGTGGGGATGGCTTGAGGGAGGTGGCACTGCCATTCCTGCCCTGAGCCCTCTCCTCGGCTGTGGCAGGGGCAGACCTGCTGGAGGAACACTTGGTGGAGATCCGCAGCCTGCGCCAGCGCCTCGAGGAGTCCATCTGCACCAACGACCGGCTCCGGGAGCAGCTGGAACGCCGCCTGGCCTCCACCAGCAAGGCCAGCGGTACGGGGCCGCACTGGGCCGGGACTGCCGGGGTCTCAGGCTCTGCACACCCTGCTGCACGGGGAGGATGCTCACCCAGTGTACAGTGGGGCACTGGGGAGAGTGACTCAACACTGGTCCCCTCTGCAGGATTACCCAGTGATGTCTATGCCCAGACACCGGAGCTGGGGCTGCAGCTGAGTGGGGAGAACCAGGCTCTGCGTGAGGAAAACCGGACCGTGCGGCTCCAGCGTGACCACCTCTCCCAAGGTAGGGCTGGGCCACCAGCATCCTCAGTCCCAGAGGGCTGAGTGGGGTGGCGGTGACACCTCCACGGTCTCTGTCTGCAGAGCTGGTGCGGGTGCAGAAGGCACTCCTGTCTGCCTGCTCCCGGGCACGGGAGGCTGAAGCAGAGCTGGGCCAGAGGCGTGGGAAGCAGCGGAGGCTGGCAGAAGAACTGGCTGAGTGCCAAGAGACTGTCCGGCAGCTCCGGGACGAGCGGCTCTCTCTGCAGGAGGACAACAACAGGTAAGGTCTGGGGCATTGTGATCTTGGGGCCACAGGACTGGGCGGCATGGCTGGCACCGGACGCACATGTCACCCCTCTGCAGGCTGCAGCACTCAGTGACACTCCTGCAGCAGCAGAGTGAGGAGCAGCGCCTGCTCCTGCAGACCCTGCGTGCGGAGCTGCACGTCTATGAGAGCCTCCCTGTCCCCTCTGCTGAGACACGAGCAGGTACAGCCCCCTCAGCCCCTGGTCTTGGGGTGCTTGACCCCTTTGCAACCCTTGGGTGGTTCTAAACACCTCTCCCGTCATGGCAGCAGGTGGGACGTGGTGGCCCTGCTGGCAGGCAGAGAGGGAGGGCAGGACCCCAGCAGGCCCTGGCACAGAGCCACAGACGTCCACAGCGGCTCAGATGCTTCTTGTTCTAGGCTGCTTCCCATCTCCTCCAGTGCGGGATGTTGGCACAAACTCAGCAGCTCCCCTCTTCTCCCCGCTGCCCTCTGGCATGTCCGTGGTCCAGCGGATGGACGGTGGGTACCAGAGCCTGACCACACACAGGTCTTAGGAGCTGCTGAGACCTGATAAACTCATGGCAGCACTCTTGCTGAGCAAGACCGGAGAGCTCAGGGCAGAGCCAAGCCCCCAGGATGGGATGGGGAAGACCACGAGGGGAGCAGGCAGGGTTCCTCACCTATCCCTGCTTGTTCCACAGAACCACGAGGAACAGACCCGCTGGTGAGGAAGAGTGAGGTACCAATGGGGGCTCACGTCATCGGCCGCCTGGACACGTATCAAGCCCTGGAGCAGCACATCGTGGAGGGGAAGGCCCTGGCCCGTGAGCTGATGTGTCTCACACGCCCGGCACTTGGGCTGCCCAACTGCTTGCTTGCGGGAAAGGAGGTAAAGTGTGGGCAGGATGGGGCTGGCAACACCCAGGGGCCAGACCCTTTCTGCACCACATGTGACACGGCTCCTGAGACCAGAATCAGCCCCGAGGCCTGCAGGGCTGGCAGGAGGCAGGGAGCCTCCAGCCTGGGGCCTGCTGCTGGCACTGCCCTGCCACACTGGGCTGGGCATGGCGAGTCCCCAGGTGCATTGGGACGTGGGTGCCCCAGCAGCACCTGCTCCCGCACCCTTCTCCCACAGGCCCTGGGATGGACGGGGACAGGGCAGGGACACCTATGGGGCAGTGCCAGCACCCTGCACGGCATCCTGGAGGAGTGTGTGTCTCTCCTCACTGCCTTCTGGAGCACCGTGCTGCCCATCAACCTCACCCAGCACCAGGGCAAGGTGAGCAAAGGCTGGGGGCTGGCAGGGTGGTGGGGCTGGGTGCTCACTGCTCATGATGTTCCTCTCCTCTCCATGCTCCCAGGAGCAGGCGCTACAGGGTGAGATTGCAGCGCTGCGGGCCCGGCTCTCTGAGAGGGAAGATGCCCTGCAGAGCACGGCCAAGCGGCTGCGCAGCACAGCACAGCTCAAGGACAGCATGGAGCACTTCATCGTCAGCCAGCGTACGTGGCCCCAGTGGCACGGCCAAGCTGGCCCGGTCCCCAAGTACCTGGGGTAGTTCCACAGCAGAGGGACCTCACTGACACCCTCTCTCTCTCCCCTGCAGTGACCAGGACCCACAACGTGCTGCGCAAGGCCAGGACGAACCTGGAGGTGAGTATGGCAGCCAGTGTGGGATAGGGATGGGTGTCTGTGCCCTAGTGAGCCCTGATGGCCTGGGGATGGGCACAGGTGACACACACCCTGTGGTGGCTGGCAGGGGCCAGCTGGGTGCAGTAGTGTGTTCTGGGGGGGGGGCACACATTTTTGTTGTCTATCTGCAGCCTGTGTGTCCATGTCCCCAGGGCACAGCAGCTCTCCCTCTTACTGCTGTGTGTGGTCTCTTGCCAGGTGAAGGCCCAGCAGGCCCTGCCTGTCGCTTGAGCCCCAGGCAGAGCAGGGAGCGATGGCCCAGCCTGGAACAGCCCGCTGGCTGCTGACTCATGCCATGCCAGAGGGCTGGAGCAGACTCTGTCCCTGCTACTCGGAGGGCTGGGGTGGACAGGGGTCTGGGGTGTGCTACACTATTAGTGGTTTTGGGCTGCTGTGGTGGTCGCATGCCCTTCACCAGCCTTTGCTTGGCATTGCAGCAGCTGCTGCTGGCTTAGGCTTTGCCTGCCCCATGCTTCAGTGCTCGCTCCCCTCCACCTTTGGTGTTCAGTGGGATGACGGACCCCTCTGCACTGAGCACCCCTTGCCCTGGGACCTGGTCCCACCTGTAACCCTGCTGAGTACCCGTCCCTGATCATGGATGTATGTATATGTATATAGACAGAGGTATTGGAACTGCATTTTGGGGGCTTCCCGGACATGCTGGGGCCCCAGAGCGGGAGGAAGATGTAAGAAATGCCATATTCTGTTCAGTGGCTGAAGAGTCCCCAATAAAGGTTACTACCTTTGGGTTGTGGTGTTTCTGGCATGCCCGTTTCTGCAGCAGTTGCTGCCCCTCCCTGACCTCCCCCAGCACAGGGTGCCAAAGGCACCAGCTGGCCCCAAGGGGGTGGCTCTGTGCCCCACCCCAGCACCCCTAGGGCAGCTCTGTGCCCCATTGGGTGCTGCCTTTCCTGCTCTCGCTGTTTCAGAGCCCCCCTCCAACACCAGGCAAGCAGCACCGAGAACAATAAATACTGTAATAAATAGAGAAATCCCTGTCCCGTGGCACTGCTGCGGCAGCAGGCGGTGCAGCCGGGGTCCTGGGGTGCCTGCCCGGCTCTGCTCTCCCCAGACCCCTTCAGCGTGGGCATGTGCCAGTGCCCCTCTGGCTGAGATGAAGTCAGCTCTGTCCCATAGAAGCACTGAGTGTTGGGGACAGAGCAGTCAGTCCTTGACGGTGCTGTCCCAGTGACAGGTAAGCGTGGCTGTGTCCGGCTGTACCTTCCATCCTGCTGGCTCGACGCTGAACCTGGCAGGGGGCTGGGGCTCCAGAGCTGAGAGCCCTCCTCAAAGCTGGGGAACAGCCCCACAGTCAGGGCTGTGGGACAGGGGCTGGTAGCAGGCTGGAGTGTCACAGAGCCCCTCGTGATCAAAGTGGCCTTTGGAAACTCAAGACCAAGACAGCAGAGCAACCTTCAGCAGGTAGGACACGTTCCTGGAGGCCTGGGCTGAGGGCAGTGCTAGGATCACCTTGAGGCCCTTGCAGGCTGGAGAAGACAGGCAGGGTGAAGCCCTTTCCGTGTTGGGCGTGAGAAAAGGCTGTTCTGGTGAGCAGCAAAGTGGTCCCAGAGACTCACAGAAGCCTAGGGGAGCTGCAGGTGGGCGGAAACCAAGGGCTAAATCAAACCACGCCAGTAGGATGAGACAGTGTCACAGGCCCCAGCGGCCCTGGGCTCATCGCCAGGGCCTGTGTCCCTGCCAGGTTTGAGGCTGGAGCCAGCGGCCAGTTCTCACACAGTCCCGTGGCCCAGTGTGTGCAGACAAAGCGGCGTTTCGTGTCCTGCGTGGAGGGTGGGCGAGGCCCTGGCTCAGATGGGCTTGTACAGCAGCGTGGTGACATACTTCTTCTTGTAGCGGTGCGTGGCGCTGAGCACCATCACGCCGTCCTGCGAGAGGCACAGTGTCAGCGGGGGCACCGTGGCACTCCCGGGACAGCCCTTGGGAACAGGGCTCTGGGGGCTCAGGGAGCTGCCCCAGCCCATCCCTGCTGTCCCGAGTCTCACAGCCTGTGAGACACATCCAATGCACAACAGGATGCCAGGGCAGAGGGGCTGGTATGGGGCTGCTCAGCTCCACCATGGTGCAGGTAGGCAGTTGAAGGGAATTGCAGGGAAGCCACAACCTCCACCCCTGCATGTGCCACACTTCAGTGGGCAGCCATGCTGCCCTTGTGTGGGTCCTCTGGTCCCATTTCCACCCCAGCTGTCCAGGTTCTGTTCCCTGCAGGTGCTGCAGACTCCTGGAAGCCACAGCAGCTCCCATTCCCTCACCCAGCAGCCAAGTGGGACCTGCGCTTACCTTGATGGAGAGCGCGTAGAGGTGATTGAGCATGACGTGGTTGGGTTCAGGCAGGAGTGCTGGGTCACACTAGGAGGAGAGAAGTGTCACAAGGGAACAGCAGAGCCCTGATCTCCCAGCCCTAGCCAGCACAGGGAGCTGCTGCCTCAGGCAGCTTGAGCCTGCTGGTGCCTCTGGCTGTTCTGAACAGGAACAGAGCTCAGCTAAGCACCAGGAGAACAAATCAGCGTGGCTAATGGGAAAAGTGATGCTTTTCCTAGGAAATGCCAAAGGCCAGGCCCCAGCCAAGGGGAGATCAGGCTCCCTGCAGACAGGACTTCCCTTCCGCCCCCAGTGCAGCTCTCCGTGTGGGCACTGTGCTGGTACACACCGAGATATTGGTGTCCTTGTTCAGGATGACCTGGAGGAGGTGAGGCGGGAGGATGGGTGGGGATTTGAAGCGCTCCTCAGGCCGGTATACGTACATCTCTTGGCCGTAAGGTCCAGGTGGTGAGCTTGATAAGTCTGGAGAGAAGAGAAAGGAGGAGACGTGAAATGGGTAAAGCAGGATGGAAGAGCACAGAACAATATCCCAGAAGCTGAGAAGGACCCAGCAGGACCTTTCAGGCACAAATATCTTCCACAAGCCATGGCCAGGTATCTATCCTTTAGCAACAGTTAAGCCTTTTCACAGCAGAAAAAGCAGCCAAGTGAGCCCTGGGCATTATCAAGCAGGGCTGTAAGCTGGTCCATGCACTGACACAGCACAAGCACCCTGTGGTACCCACCTCAAGAGCCCTGCACATGTTCTCGGCCCAGCCAGGTCCCTCTCCCACAGGAAGCAGCTGGTTTGTCCCAGGGCTGTACCCTTGGCAGCAGGGACACAGGGATCAGTTTGCCTGCATGCTCTTTGTACTGCAGGACTGCCTGATGAGGGGGTCCAGGAAAAGCAAATGGAAACTCTAGACTGAGCAGCTGCTCCACACATGGGAGGGACCACAGGAGCTTGTGGTCACTGGAAGCTGGACTGGCCGCATCTCCCAGCTGTATCTGATCCGATAATTTTGGAACAGCCAGCACCCAGAAGGGCTCCATCTCTCTGAGCTGCTGCTGCCTGCTGGCTTCTCTCCAGCAAAGTGCCACTTGCCCGGGCTGGGAAAGGACATGGAGCTGAGCTGTATCTGAGATGGGGTTGTATCAGGGCCCAACACACGACTGAGCTGCCTGCCAGCATTACACACCAAGCCAGCACTGCCGGTGCCTGCGTGGTAACCTAACCTGCTGCTGTAACACAAACAGAGAGGGAGGTCTGCAACATGCTACCACTAGTACAAATTACCTTGGCATGAAAACCAAGAGCAGCTGCTGAAAATAACCTGGATCCTGCTCTCACCTAGCTTGTACCCTGGATCAGATGACTTACAGTTGCTCAGACAGACAGGGCTGATGTTCCCAGTGTTCACCAGTCCAAAACGGCTCCCTCAGCCGGCTCTGCTCCGGTGCTAGCACAGAACAAGTTACACCAGCACAACCCCTCCAGAGAGACGAGGCCTCAGCTGTGGGTTGCTGAGGACATGGTGCCAAACACTATTCATCCTGAATGCAGGCTCACACCTCTGCCCAGGGGGTCTGTTCACCCCAGAGCAGCAAGTCTCAAAGCAGAGGAGGTGGAAAGCAGCACATGCAAAGCTGTAATGCCACAAAACTCACCCCGACCTGAGGTTTCTGAGCTCTCCAGGGAATCCACCTTCAATGCATCGAACACCTCGAAGTCAGACTTCTTGACGTGGATTAGGTTGTTAATCGTCCCCATCTGGCTGGTGACCACGGGCTGCAGAGAACTGAGGTAAGAATCTTCCTGTGTTCACCTCCAAACGAAGCACACTCAAGGCTTCCCAGATCCTCCCAGCCCAAGCTGTCTTCGCTTCGCTACCTCAGGGCACATGTGGTTGGTGTCTAGCTCTGCTCTGTGCTTGTTTACCCTGGGAGGATTTCCCTTTACTCCTAGGCTCCTACATCACCTCCTATTTTCATCCTCCATCCTGTTACATGGGTGTGTTCTCCTTGCCATGCTGCTACTGCATGATTCAGTTTGGAGAACCTGCAAGTGAGTGATGACCCCACGGCCAATCTTCCCACGTAGACAAATTCTCTATGGGATTTAAAGGCTTTCTGGAATTTCCCTGCCCCTTCCCAATGCTTCCCCATAAAGCATGACTAAGTCCAGAGGAACCAGCCTCTGACAGAACTCAGGGGGTGGAGGTGTCCCTTTTAATTTGGCAGATGATCTCCTCTTCTTCCTGTTCCCTCTCTGGTGCAGTTACATCCTGTCTAGTTCCCTGAAGAAGACAATATCTGTAGGGATAAAGCATTGAGTGTTACCTCAGAGGGGTCATGGACCCACTGGCCATCCACAAAAAATTTGTACTGGTGCTCTCCTTCTGGGAGATCCAGGATAGCAACGAAGTCGTTGTGGCTGCGCAGAGAGAAAAGATGTGCATCAGCATTACCCTGTTGATGCTCTGGATGCTGCACTTCCACGGGGCCCCAGGAATCGGCACTGCCCAGCCCCTCCCACCCCAACATCTTCATGTAGGGCTAGGCTTGCTCATCGTCAGTGACCTGAGGCACGGCCACAACCGGCACGAGCATTCCAAGCACTAGCATGGCTCAAACTCCTGGGAGCCCAGCTGCAAGGAGAGGAGGAGGCAGTCCAGCCATCCAAGCCCAGAGACACTGGATATGACAGGCACCCTGTGCAAGGCACACTGGGGAGGATGCATGGGCAAAGCTCCTGGACCTGTGCTGGCATGGCAGGACGAGAGCAAGTGAGGCAGCTCTGTTTGTGAAGTCTGCAATTCTGGAAGAATTGCTAGGAGTCCTACACAGAGCTTCCATGTAAATCACAGACTTGCTGCAGAACAGCAAGAACATCATTAGGGCAGAAAGACATGTGAGGGACAACCAACCAACCCCACTGGCAGCAATACAACTAGGCATGGGGAAAAGCAACAGCCAAGGGGAGAGCTGGCAGCTTTCAGAGCACTGCTGCATACCTGGGCAGGGCTCTGCTGCCAGGACTGACTCCTGCATGACACACAGCTGGGCAAGCACAGTGGCCTATCCCATCCTGTCCCTCTGTTTCACAACTTCCCACAGTCCCTGCAGGACCATCAGGGAAGGAGCTGACTATATATATGTGCTCAGACTCCCAGCTTGGATGAACGGGAAAAGCCAGGTGAGCAAAGGGAACAGTGACCAGCATAGAGAAGGGAAAACATTCCCTGCAATGGAGCAGAGGAGCATATAGAGTGACCTGAAGGACTGGCTACCTCTTGATGAGTGGGATCTTGGTGCTCCAGTTGTTGAAGGATCCAGAGATGAAGACCTCTTTGCCTCCATCGGCCCAGCGGATGACAGTTGGACGAGCCTGTTGGGATGGTTTCACCGACTCCTCTAGATCTGGCTGCCATGACACAAACTCCTTGTCCCCAGGAATCTGAGCAAAGAAAACCAGAGCCTGACTAAGACACGAAGACAACTATGAACACATTCACTTCCCCCTGGCCTCTACCACCACGCCTGCACATCCCAGACAGGAGCACTGCAGAGCTCCTCCAGCCTCCCAGCTCCCCACAAACCCCTCGCGAGGCTGGGAGCGCAGCCCCGCACAGACAGTGAGCTGAAGCTGCAGAGCAGAGACAGGGAAGGGAGCGGCCAGCCCCTACCTTGGAGTCATGGGAGCTGAAAACACTGGGGTCATCGGTGCTGCCCACCATGATCTTGTGCGGGTGCTCCTTGGTGGGGTGGGAGGCACCGGAGCCGTCTGAGCGGTGGGACTTGGAGCCATGGCGCTCCCCGGACACTCGCTCGCTGGTGGTGTTCCCCATGACAGCTCAGCAGCCCCTGTGGGGGAGAGAGAACAACACTGTACCTGTGCACATGGGCTCTGGCAGTGAAGAGAGGAGCAAAGGCGCCATTTCCCAATGCTCTTTGCCAGCGGAGATGGACAGCAATCCTAAAAAAGGCCCCAAGTTCATTCCCACTACCAAGTTTGGGAGCTGAATGCTCAACAAACAAGACAGCTTGAATTAATTATAGCCGTATCCTTAAGAACTGTCACTCTAGTTAAGCTGGTAATAATTAAGACTCCAAAAACAATACTAATTCACCTATGCTCCACATCAGCCCTCGGCAGCCAGTAGAGTTGAGGGGCTGATGGGAAAAATAAAGGCAACCTTTATTGGCAAATCATTGTTTGGCATTAACAGAGCCTCTTTCACAGTCCCCCAGTCAGGCTCTACAGACAAATCCCCTACATCCAGCCAGAAAACAACCAGAGAGTGAAAGTAGCAGCTGTTTTACAGCTCCCCACAAGTCTCCAAGAGCTCACAGGCAGAAGAGCAGAGTCTTGTGCCTGGCAAAGATGACAGGGAGCATTTAAAGTGTCCGAGTGGAATCGCCCAAGCTGGAGCTTGTCCAAGGAGTGGGGCTAATGTTGTGCTGTCTGCAAAAAGCTCAGCTCTCAGCAGCACTCACTTATGATTCACCAGGCAAGCCACAGTGTCAGCTGCAGCACAGCACAGCGAGGAGGTCCGCTTGTTGTGACTGAACCAGCGGCACCGCCGCGAGCACTCCGGCATCTGCCTGGCTGTCTGGAGGCACGCAATGAGGGAAGGGCAGCCCCAGCCACCTCAGCGTCCCTCTGCAGCTGGAGATGGGCCTCCATCCCAAATCTCACCCATCTCAGAGAAAGCAAAACAGAACAACTGACCAAGCCACAAACAACTACACACCTCTTGGAACAAACAACAAAGGCACCGCAAACTACGCAGGACTCTTCAGGCCTTACCCAGTTCTCAAGGGCTGAGATGGATTGGGGCTCTTGCCTGCTTTCCAGGCTTATTTTGCAGCTTTCAGCCTACTGTGGGCTCTGTGGAACAAGGCAAGGGGATAGCCAGCCTTGCTTCATGTGCTCACTTGCGACATTTGGAGGTTTGTTTAGAAGATCAAGTTATACGAAGGGTGCCAGGCAAGGCTGCCAGCCAAAGCCAGGCTTTAGAACATTACAAAGCAATTACTGAAGTATTTCTTAAATCCTGAAGGCTAAAAGGCAGCTCAAGAGGGCAGTTAACCCACACCTTCACCCTTCTCAGTGCAGATCAAGTGTATCTGATGATCCAGGTCAGGGGAGCTGCACCTCTTGCTCTGACATTTTCCCCCTCTGCTCTGAGGAGGCTCAGCCAGCTCTTCACAAAAACTGCCCCTGTGCCACTAACCCGTTGTTGAGGAGTTTCCTCCCCAGTACCTCCACTAAGGATCCCTCACTTCTTATCTACAGGGAGGAAGGCAGGAAAGGTCGAACATTCTCTTGTACCAGGACAGACTTGGGAGATACATGAAGGTGTTAACAGATCTGAAGCTTCTGTTTCTCTTCTCTAAAAGGGATCCAGTCCCTCTGTCCCTAACAGGTCATGCTCTCCAAACACCTCCTGAGGTTTATCCCAACCGGTGGCTCCTTTCTGGTGTGTGCCATCTGAATCCCCTGCATCGAACACACAGGCACCCTGCTTGTGCTGGGACAGCAGCCTGTGTGGTATGTGGCTTTGCTGAATCAACTTCTACAGCTCAAACCCTCCTTGCAGCTGCACCCAGACCAGCCCTTGTAGCACGGCACGCTGTGATGGTGTGACACTGGTACGTCCGAGTCACAGATGGCCGCGCTGCCCACACCAGAGCCCAAGCAAAGCTCCGCGGCGTCTCGGCGCATCGGCTCCCAGTTTGGCAGCGAGCCCCTGCCAGCCGCAGCCGCAGCGAGGAGGGTGCCTGCCTGCCCCACCGCAAGGCTCCTTCGGCTCCAGCCAGCCCCACCTCCCCACTCCGAAAACGACAAGCGAAATACACCAATTCCCGCCGGGATCTGTCCCGCTCGCTGCCTCTCCTCCCCGGCCGGTGCCCCGCACCGGGAAGCCCTGTGCGGCACACGAGGGGTCTGTGCACAGGGACGTGGGTCTCTGCCCGGCATCCCGCCGGGACGGCACCTCCCGGCGCTGCCGTGGCCCGGGGGAGCCCGATCCGCCCGGGCTCTCCCTCCTCCTGAGGTTGCCGTAAGGTTAAGGGGATGAGCTGGGAAAGCGGGGGAGGAAAATCTCCCTCCGAGCAGGCAGGGCTGGGGCAGTGGCGGGGCTGCCACGGCGGGTTCGGCCAAACCACCCGCGGCTCTGCCGTGGCCCACGGGAAGAGCGGGACGCACCGGCAGGGACGGGGCCCTCCCGAGGGGCTGCGAGCCGGAGTCTGCACCGGTGCGGGCTCCGGGACACCACCACACCCCTAGACCGCTACACCGCACGGCCACGCCCGGCCCACCGCCCCCCGCGGCGGCGCCCGCCAGCCGCCACCCTCACCGCCACCCACCCGGGACACCCCGCCGCCCCCGGGCCCGGCCGCGGCCCAACCCCACCTGCCGCCGCCGCCGCCGCCCCGCTCTCCGCCTCCGTCCAAGATGGCGCCACCCCCGCCGGCCGCTGCGGGGCGCTCTGGCCCGCCCCGCCCCGCTCCGCGGCCGCGCCCCGCCCCGGACCCGCGGCCCCGCCGCCGGGCACCCGCCATGTTTGCTGAGGGCGGCCGGCCCGTTGTCGCTAATGGCGCGCGGGCGGGCGGGCGCGGGGCCGCACGGCTTCACCCCCGCCGGCGGCCATGTCTGCTGAGGGCAGGGCGGTGCCGGTGCCGGGGATGTTCGGGGGGCTGCGGGGAGCGAGCAGGCGGGGTGCTGCTCCTGGGCTGGGCAGACGCCTCAGGATCGACCCCACAGACTGAGACAGCCAAGCAGTGTGGTCCGTGGTCCCCCTCGGCATAGAGACAAGCTTTATTGTCCTTTTCCTGAGGCGCGTTCCCAGTTTCCCACCACCTCAGCGTGACCTAACCCGCAGACACAGCTTGTGGTGCTGCCGGGCCGGGATTTAGGAGAGGGAAGTGATCCCCGTCCTCAGAGCAGCCCGCGACCAGGACGTGCATATCCCTGGCACAGCAGGAAGACGGGACAGACCGGGCTGCACCTTCAAGGAAAGACTCCCTCCGTGCCTCCGGGCGCGGGCGGCACACCTAGCAAGGGGCAACAGACACATGCCCAAAGGAAAAGGAAAAGATTGCCGGGACGACCCCGCTGTCTCCTTCACTTTAGGCTAAGGAGAGCGCGAGCCGTAGGCGAGGATGGCCGCAACCACGCCGAGGATGCCGAAGAGGACAGTGAGGATGCGGGGCAGGGCGCCGGGGCGGGCGCTGCCCCGGGGCTGCAGGGCTCTGACCACACGCTGCCGCTGGGTCAGGATGGCCTCCCTGGCACCCGCCCACGCACCCGGGCCCCGCAGCCGGTACTGGTACGGCGTGCAGGGACCGAAGGCCACCTCCAGAGCCAGCTTGGGGTCCGTGAGGAACAGGGTGAGCAGGTTGGGCTTGACCCCCAGCTGGCAGGCGAGCTCATCCATGTAGGGGATGTAATCCACCTGGATGGTGTGCCGCTGGCTCTTCACGTACCTGTGGGCGGGGAGGAAGGGCAGGCGGGTTTGGCACATGGGCACGGGGGTAAGGGTGGCAGAGGTGATGCTGTGCAGGGTCCTTACCGCTTGGCCATTTGGTCCTTGGTCCGTGTGATCTCAGCCAGCATGTTGGCAAGTGGCGGCAGGTCCTTCAGCCCTGGGGAGGAGGAGGCTGTAGCTGGAGGGAGGGCTGTGCTCCTACGGCTGTCTGCATGGCTCAACCAGGCCTCTGCTTGCACATGTAAGCCTTTGGGGCTTTGGGGAAGTGCCGCCACCTCAAGAGCAACGTGGGAGGCATGGGCAAAGAAAGTAATGGTTGGAAAGGAAAGGGAGAAGGTGGTTTGCAGGCAACAGGACCTATTAGTGGCCCCCACAAGAGACAATCAGTGCAAGACTTGTTGCAAAATACAATGCCGGTTTTTGTCCTTGTGAAGAAGCAAAAGGACGATAAAAAGGTGAGTGTGGGGAGGCAGCATGTGAGGGGATGCCACCAGCTGAACACCTCGTTCTTGTTGTGGCTAGGGAAACCTGGCTGCATCTCCCCAAAGTTCCTGACTTACCCTTGAAAACTTGTGTGGCCCAGCGACACTGGAGCTCGGAGATGGGCATGATGGCACCCAGGGGCTGGATGAGGCCAATGAAAGCCAGCGTTGGCTTTTCCAGCTCAGGGGGGAACATGAATTTGTAGAGGGGGATCTGGTTCTCCACCACCTTCACGCACCCCTCGAGGAATGGGAAGGAGAAGCTGTATCCCGTGGCGAAGACGACGACATCAATGTCTTCCCTGGTGCCATCCTCAAAGATGGCCGATGTCTCCGTGAACTCCTGGATGTTCGGCTTCACCCGCACCCTGCCCGAAATGATGCGGTTGGGCAGGTCGTCGTTGACGGTCGGGTGCTGGTCAAAGATCCTGGAAGGCACAGACAGACCTTGTATGGGCTTGGGTAGTGGGACGGGCAGCAGGATGGGCATTGCTGGGACAGGTACCTGGAGTGCTGCCAGGGCACTCACCTGTGCTGGGGCTTGAGGCCGTAGAGTGTGTGGTCAAAGCGGGCGTTCAGCTTCCTCTCCATGAAAGAATTGGTGATGTTTTGAGGCAGCAGGCTCAGGTGGAGCTGCTTGAAGCGGCTGATGTTGCTGAAGTCAAAGGGGTACCCGCTGTCCGCCACCCGGTGTAGCACCCAGGTCCCACGCTTGGTGCTGAGGAAAACCTGGGAGAAAGGAGAACAAAGATGGCAGCATCCTGAGACCATCCTGAGACCTTGCTCCAGGTACAGGGATGCCAGCACAGCTGCTGGGACCACAGTAGACACCACCACTGAGAGGGAACGTGGTGCTTGTGGCTGGTGCTGGAGGGAGTCCACAGGGGTTGGTGGGGGGAGGATGGGTGCTCTCCCATATCAGGGTCTGAATAATAAGCACCCCATCCCTGTTGGCTGTCCCAGCAGACCTGTTTGGCTGTTTGGCTCAGCTCCACTGCGATATCGACGCCTGAATTCCCGATGCCAACCACGACCACCCGCTTTCCCAAAAAGGGCTGTGGGCTCTTGTAGTCCCGGCTGTGCAGGTACCAGCCCTCAAACTTTTTCAGCCCTGGAAGAGAGAGGGAAGCCATACTGGGCTGGGATGTGGGGCAGGAGAGTGGTGGCCCCCTGATCAGATTGGTGCTGTATTTTGGGAACAGGCTGGGACTAGCCCTGGGGTAGTGCCCAGAAAGGCGGTGGCATCTCCAGCCTTGGAGTTTCTCAGTGTGGCCCTGAGAATCCTACTCTGGCTTTGGGGCTAGCATAACTTGGAGCAGGGCTTGAACTGGATACTTTTGTGCTTCCATACCAAAATCCTCCTGTGGTTCCTGTCTGGTGCCATGTACTGAGACTAGAGCAGCAGCTGGGGTTTGTGCCATATCACCAGACCCTGGTGATGGTGTCCTCCAGCCTGTTCCCCAGCCAAAGAGGGTCTCCACAGCTGAAAGCTTTCCAGGTATTTTTGTCTGGCACCCAAAGGAGAAGGCCAGCATGAGTACCGAGCTCTTAAGCTTGGTGAGGACCTGGAGAGCCCAGCATGTGCTTGGCCAGCAGTGTGGAGAGGGAGCCTGTCTCTGGTGGAGGAGGTACACTGGCAGCAGTGACATCTGCCAGCAGGATGCTCTGGGTGCTCAAGCAATCCCACCTGGTGTGTTAAACTTCAGAGGCATTTTTGGTAGCACCCAGAGCAGGGTGGAGGCTGAACTGGAGAGGAGGGTGGTCCCAGGGATGTCAAGGACCAGGCAAGCAGCCTGTGGGGCAGTACCTGGGAAGGTGTTCAGTGGGAGATGTGGGTCAGTGTGGTGCCCGCTGCACACCAGCACGGCGTTGAAGACAGCCGCCTCCTGCTTCCCCTCGCTCTCCGTCACCACCTCCCACTGGCCCGTGGCAGCAAAGTCGGGGCGCTTGGACACGCGGCACACGCTGGTCTGGGTGCAGGGGGAGTGGGCGTCAGTCACCCTGCGCCCCTGGCCCCGCTGCCACCACCCCTGTGGCCCCCCAGCTCTCACCCTGAAGCGGATGTGGCGGAGCAGGTCAAAGTGCTGGGCGTACATGCGGAAGTACTCCATGATCTTGGAGTTGTGCATGTAGTTGGGGAAGTCCTCGGGGATGGGGAAGTCACTGAAGCACATCATCTCCTTGGAGGTGTTGATGATGACGGAGCGGTAGATGCTGGCACGGCCGTCCTCAGGGTCCTCCTGTGGAAGTGGGTCGCGGCTCAGCGCTGGCCAGGGACTGCAGGGCCACCTACCCGCCCTGCCTGGCACATCCCTGTGCCTATGAATGCTGGATTAGGCCACAGGTGATTGTAGCACCCATCCCTGCAGTCTCCCACGAGTGAGACCACCCGCCTCAAAAATGGGGAAGAGGAAGCTCTGGGTTGGTGACAACCAGGCAGTAGTGACAGCAGGTCATGGTGGTCTCGTGCCTCAGTTTCCCCACTCCTTGCCCCTATGAGGTGATGCATTCCCAAACTTGCCTGTGGCGTCACTGCCGCAGCTGCCACATCAGGTCTTGCCGGTTGTGGAGCCAGCTCCGGTGCTTCCTGCTGGGTGGCTGCTTCTGCTTGCCAGGTCTGTGCCTTAGCAGCTGGATGCTGCTTCCCTGGCTCTGCCACACCAGTCCCATTCCTGACCCATCATGGGCAGGACCAGCAGGCTGTGACTGAGCCACTCCCAACCCCACACTGGTGTGGTGCCCATGTGTGTCCCCCCGGCCTCTCCCAACCCCACACTGGTGTGGTGCCCATGTGTGTCCCCCCGGCCTCTCCCACCCGCATATCAGGGCACGGTGGGAGCACTGGTATTCTTGTTGGTGGGTCCACGAGGGAAGTCAACAGCCTTATTAGGTGGGTGCAGAAACAAGCTCTGGTGCTTTCCCTGAGAAAGGGAGAGCCAAGGCACAGAGGAGGCAGCACTTGGTGCCTCTGTGTGGGTGAGCAGGGATGGGAGTAAAAGTGATTCCAGGGAAGGGCTGGGAAGGACAGAGGCTGGAACAGACAGTAGGGTCAGATAGGACAACGAGAGGTGGGAAAGGGCTGGAGGGGACCAAGAGCAAATCAGCAGAGCAAGAGGTGGATGAGACCAGGAAGGGAGGGATGGGAAGGAAGAAGGCTGAGCTGGGGGAGCAAGCCCTGGGATGAGGTCCTTGGAGAGGGTCTGTGCTGCTGCTGGTGGGAAGGAGATGGGTCCCATGTGCCCAGCACACCAGCTGGCACCACGGGGACCTTCTGCTGCCAAGTTGTTTTACTTTCCTGTTGTTCACCTTGGAAATCTGCCTGGCACGCGCTTGCAAAGCAGGGGAGTGGTGCTTCGCTATCTGCCAAGAACCCATCCCAGTCCCATCCGTTCTGCTGCCGTGAGGCAGGCTGGCAAGCATGGGCCTTACCTCGAAGCGCCAGAGGCCCCCGATGTCCTTGCTCCTCTCAAAGCAGGTGGGCTCCAGCCCCTCATCCAGGCAGCATTTCAGGGCACACAGGCCAGAGGCACCGGCACCAATGATGGCTACTCTCTGGGCAGCCATGTCCCACGTTCTGGTGTTGGCAGGGATTCTGGAGAAGCTGTGGCACTGAGCAGGTTGCAGAGCCTGGCGGGCTACACCAGGGAGGATGCACAGTGCTGCTCAGTTTGGGAGTGACTGTCCCTGTGCTTCCTGTGGGTGGCCAAGGGCAGCTAGGGTTTCATAAGATGTGTTTCTTCTAGACACGATCTACAGGTTCCCCCCACCATTCTGCCACTCCCCCTGTCCGTGTTTGCCCTCCCCAGGAGGCTCATTAGATTCTGTAAGCACCTGATGATGCTGGCACTGCTCCAGGACTTGCTGGGCAGGGCAGAGATGTGGCTGTGCTCCAGATTTCAGCATGGAAAACAAACTAGGAGGATGCTCAGGTGGTTGGCGGTCATGCCAGCCCAGATGTGTGGTGGCCAAGACTCCTGACACCACTCTGGATACCCATCCCACCCAACCATCTTCTGGAGGGGCTGTGTGCAGGTGACGAAGGTGGCACTGAACTGTGACCCTGTGACCTGCTCCGGTGTCCCACACCCTGAGCGAGGCTGTCTTCCTGTGGATACACACAGGTGTGTACGTGTGTACTGCTGTGGGCCAGTGGCACGGCGACGAATTCACACCCATGAGCATTCCCCTGGCACACAGTGGGTCGCGATATTGTCAGTAACAGGACAATGCCTGGCTGTTTAATGCATTTATGCAGTTAGGAAGTGTGCAGTGCCTTTGCTGCTTAGCTTTCACGTGTGTATGCCAGCAGTGGCACAGCTGGGTTACACGGGACAGAAAAGCCCAGAGCACTGGCTGAGAGGGACTGGATTTTACCCTTCATGGGAGAAGGTTTCCTTCTCTGTCCCTGGCAGCAGCTCTACAGGGAGAGGCACAGCATGGGGGTCCAAGCTTTATTTTGGCAGCTGGGGGGGTTCTGTGCATCCCGAGCTCATGGTGTGGTCACAGTGGGGCCGTGCCAGGCAGGGGGAAGGTTTCTGCCAGCACTGGGGTGCACAGACTGCTGTAGGGCAGGGGTGACCAGCCAGCCCCTTGGCACATTGCAGACCCTCCCCTCCCACGCTTGCAGGGCACTTAAAAGTAAGCAAAAACAGCAACGAGGATGGCCACGGCCCCGAGCACCTTGAAGATGAGGGGCACAGCAGGGGACGAGACATGTTCCTCCACGTGCCGCGTCTGCAGGGGCTTGATGATGCGCTGCTGCTGAGTCAGGATGGCCTCCCTGGCACCCGCCCACGCACCTGGGCCCCGCAGCCGGTACTGGTACGGCGTGCAGGGACCGAAGGCCACCTCCAGAGCCAGCTTGGGGTCCGTGAGGAACAGGGTGAGCAGGTTGGGCTTGACCCCCAGCTGGCAGGCGAGCTCATCCATGTAGGGGATGTAATCCACCTGGATGGTGTGCCGCTGGCTCTTCACGTACCTGTGGGTGGAGAGGAAGGGCAGGTGCTGGCAGCAGAGCTGGCAGATGCCCTGCACACTGGCAAGGCAGTATTGGATGGACCACCACGGGGAAGGATTGGTGGGCTGGGGGTGTGTGGCCAACCACATCCCTGACATCTCTTGGCATGAACAAATGTGCTGGGATGCAGCCATGGCACAGGATGGGTGCCCATGGGCAGCTGTGCCCACAGCAGCCCCCTCCCTGTTCCTGTGGGGACCTTACCGCTTTGCCATCATTTCTTTCTTCTGTTTGATGTCAGCTTCCATGTCGTGCCGTGGGGGCAGCTCATTCAGACCTGGGGAAGGTGAGCCACAGCATGGAGGGGCTGCACCCTGCTGGCCACGGTGGCCTCTGTGGTGCTGCCCTTGGCTGGGTGCTGCGCCCCTGCCGGCACCACCATGGCGGGTGGTCTGGCACCTGAGGCATGTCTGAGCTCCTCGGGATGGGAAGGAGCAGCCCACGGAACACAGGGTATGGATGTCTCTGTCCCTCTCAGGCAAGAGCCCATCTCACCGTGAGGGCTGCCAGCCAGGATGCCACAGACTCCCTGACATGACTGGGCACCATCTGCCCCTACGCCAGGGCTTCAGGCTCAGGCTGCAGCCACGGGACAGGTTTGCCTCACTTACCCTTGAAGACGCGGGTGGCCCAGCGACACTGGAGCTCGGAGATGGGCATGATGGCACCCAGGGGCTGGATGAAGCCGATGAAAGCCAGCGTTGGTTTCTCCAGGTCAGGTGGGAACATGAATTTGTAGAGGGGGATCTGGTTCTCCACCACCTTCACGCACCCCTCGAGGAATGGGAAGGAGAAGCTGTATCCCGTGGCAAAAACGACGACATCAATGTCTTCCCTGGTGCCATCCTCAAAGATGGCCGATGTCTCTGTGAACTCCTGGATGTTCGGCTTCACCTGCACCCTGCCCGAAATGATGCGGTTGGGCAGGTCATCGTTGATGGTTGGATGCTGGTGGAGGACCCTGGAAAGTACAAGGAGCCATTAGAGCACTGGGGAGGGAGTGTCTCTGTTCTGTGTCCTGCTCCAGCCACTGCTCCCTGCTCTGGGGATGCTCATCCCTAGGGATGCTCATTGTCAAAGGGCTGGTCCTGCAGAGATGCTCAGCAGCTGCCCCTGCACTGGTGCCATTAAGGGTCCCTGGAAGGGGCAGTGGTGGCTCCCTCGAGCACTGCTTGGGCACAACACAACTGTTAACCAGGTTTCCAGGGCTGGAGCCTCTTGGCCTGAGCCCAGACACAGGGAGCGTGGAATGGCCAAGGAAGGCTGGACACAGAGGGTCCCTCCTGGGCAGGGGGAGTGTTTGCTGATACCTGTGCTTTGGCTTCAGGCCGTAACGCGTGTGGTCGAACCTGGCGTTCAGCTTCTTCTCCATGTAGTCACACGCCAGGGACGGGCTGAGCAGCTCCTGCAGGAATACCTTCATGCGGGTGGTTAAGACGGTGTCGATGGGGTAGCCCTCATCTCCAACGCGGTTGAAGATCCACGCACCCCGGCGGGTGCTGAGGAACACCTGGACAAGGAAGAAGCATCACCTCCTGAAGGCAGTGATGGTCCTGGCGGGCTGCCCCAGCGGGGACATGTCTTTGCCCTGGGATCACTCTGCTTTGTGCTTGCTGCCACACTGGGCAAAGACCCAGAGGGCAGAGGGAGCTGGTGATGGGCATCTAGCAGGGAGAGGTAGGGAAGTGCCACAGGGGTAGCCTCAGTCTGGGGCTCAGGGAAGAAAATTGGGGTCCGTGTGGGACTGACTTTCAACTGCCGCCACTGCCTGGCGCTGGGACTGGCAGGTGCCAGCAAGGCCAAATACAGAGAGTGCTGGGGTAGAGGAGTGGCTGTGCAAGTGCCTTGGTCCTGGTGTCCTTGTGGAGCCAGCAGTGTCCCATGGTGGGCTGCCCTGCCCACTGGGACCCTTCTCCTGCTTCTCACCTGCTTGGCCGTTTGGCTGATCTCCACAGCCAGGTCTGACCCCGAATTCCCAATCCCGATAACAACGACCCTCTTGTCCCTGAAATCCTGAGGATCCTTGTAGTCTCGGCTGTGGAGGTAGCGGCCACTGAACTTCTCAATTCCTGTGAGCAGGGAGAAGATATGGCTGGCTTCCTGGTGCCAGGCTGGAGGATCAGTCCCCCAAAGACTGAAGTGGAGATGCTCCCTCACCCCACCAAACCACTCCTGGGGAGCATGGGAACACTCCTGAAGTCAAAGCAAGGCAGGGAAATGCTAGGGCTGAGAGGAAAAGCAGCAGGGAGGATAGGGACTGTCATGGCTGAGCTTTCTGGGGTGTCTCCTCATGCAGAGCAGGGCAGTACCTGGGAAGGTGTTCAGTGGGAGATGTGGGTCAGTGTGGTGCCCGCTGCACACCAGCACGGCGTCAAAGACAGCCGCCTCCTGCTTCCCCTCGCTCTCCGTCACCACCTCCCACTGGCCCGTGGCGGCAAAGTCGGGGCGCTTGGACACGCGGCACACGCTGGTCTGGGTGCAGGGGGAGTGGGCGTCAGTCACCCTGCGCCCCCTGGCCCCGCTGCCACCACCCCCGTGGTCCCCCAGCTCTCACCCTGAAGCGGATGTGGCGGAGCAGGTCAAAGTGCTGGGCGTACATGCGGAAGTACTCCATGATCTTGGAGTTGTGCATGTAGTTGGGGAAGTCCTCGGGGATGGGGAAGTCGCTGAAGCACATCATCTCCTTGGAGGTGTTGATGATGACGGAGCGGTAGATGCTGGCACGGCCGTCCTCGGGGTCCTCCTGTGGGAGCAGGGCATGGCTCAGCACTGGCCAGGGGATTGATGGGGAGGAATGGCTGGGGTTGATTGTGCTGCTCCTTTACATGGAGCCCCTGCCCTCAGCCTCACCCAGAGGACCCCACCGTGGCTGGCTGCATGCTGCCCCACCAGACACCACTGATCCCTGGGGGCCACTGTGCTGACCCCACCAGAACACGTGGCTGGCAGGGTTTACCTCAAACCTCCAAAGGCCTCCGATGTCCCGGCTCCTCTCGAAGCAGACGGGCTCCAGCCCCTCCTGCAGGCAGGCTTTGATGGCACACAGCCCGCTGCTGCCCCCGCCGATGATGGCCACCCTCTTTGCCATGTTGGGCTTCACCACCGAATCTCTGCCTGGAGACAGTGCCGGAGAGTGAGGCTGGGAGGTGCAGCTATGCAAACTTTTGGCCCTGTGCACCAAAGAGGCCCTGAGTTGAGAGGCAGCCCCCCCGAAGTTTGCCTGGGGTTGTGAAGCAGCTTCTATTCTCCCCCTATGTGGGGACTGGCCACTGCTGAGTTTTGTACTATCTTAGTGTTGCCTCTGGATGCCCTGGGGAGAAATGCTACCGAGTGCCGGGCAGCCTGAAAATCTCCCTGCCCATGCCAAGTCCCAGCGATGGAGGCACACTAGAATGCCTTGCCCTGTCATGGAGCCCGATGGCTCCTTCCCAGGTGGGTGACAGCCCCTCTGCCTGCCCTTCACCCTCTTCCTTCCCCGACGTGATGCCCGTCCTGCTGCCCCGGTACCCATTTCCCGGGGAACATCCTCAACGGGGACACCCTCCACGGGGACACCCTCCACCGACCTGCGGCTGTGGGAGCAGCAGCCCAGGGAAGGCGGGCGGCAGGCGGGGAGCCCCTCGGGGGTCTCTGCCGTGAGGCCGGACCGCGGCCTGGCTTTGTGGTACGCAGCGGCCGTGAGCGGAGCCTCCCCCTCCGTCACTCCTCCCACGGCGCCAGGGGAAGGAAGCCAGGAGGCGGCTGGCTCCCGGCCGCCTGCTCGGCTGTTCCGGGAGCGGCTGTCGCTACAGCCTGGACAGCGGGATGAGGAGCCGTCCCGGGCGCCGTGCGGGGAGACAGACACACAGCCCATCTCCGTGGCGTGCGTGCTGAGTGAACAAACACTGCCCTGACCTTTTACCTCTGGGATTATATGGATCAGCCCAACCCTGTTTATCCTGGTAGCCGAGGGCACACGCCGTTCTATGTGCTCCGGTGGCACTCGGCAGCGTATCGCCCACGCCCCCCGTGCCCCTGGGCTGGGCGTGTTGGCACAGTGTCCCTATAGCCGCGGCTCAGGGTGGTGGGGCCAGCTAGGAAAAGGCTGTCCCCGGCAGCAGGAGGCACAGACCACGTGGATCCAGAGCTTGCTGCTGACTCCTAGTACACTCACAGCCAGACAGCCCTTCTGGACTGCAGTGGAAATTTGTTCTCCCATGTCCAGGGAACTTCATCCCAGAGACGAGCAAGGCACAGGGCTGTGGAGGAGTCAAGCTCTGCAGCTGAAATGGCTTTAACCTTCTAAGTCTCACAGTATGTCTGCAGTAAGTTTAATAAAGCTCTCTCTGTACCTTGCTGTTGGCAAGGGCTGATCTCTGCCCAGGGCAGAGGTGCTGAGCTGCCAACCCACACACTGTGCCGGCCCGTCAAAAAGCATCGAAAGCATCTTACCAGGCAGGGGGATCAGCACGGGTACAGCAGTGTGGCAGCACTGGCAGTACTACTCTCCCCGCTCCGCTCTCAGCTGGCTTCTGAGTCTTTTGCAAGCTTTGCCCAGGTTGCACAAGGGTGATATGTGCAGGAGACCTCTGAACCCCACTGCTATCCTATCAAACCTTTTGCAGATTGCCTCCAAA